TTKTTTWTTTATWTATATATATATATTTAGATATACACACACAAAGTGTGTGTATATATATAAACTGTAATCTTGCTATTTTATATCATTATCTGTATGATATATATAAATTATATATYATACAAAGCTTCTGTAATACTGCGTCTTACTGTATCTTAATGCAATACATTTGTTTCTCTTGAAATATGCTTGTCAGGGAAAACAGACGAGTGACAAATCAAAATGTTCTGTGACGCCTGTTTGGCTGTCCTGGTTTTGAACTTAGGTTTCCTACATCTCAAACTAGATGAAGTTTTGACCAGTAGACCACAACATTCTGCTCTATTCCTCAACCTAAAATTTGATCTTGAATGTTAATTACAGAAGTTTACTCATATTTATATACACACATGTACACACACACACACACACACACTTCTTTAAGTCTTTAAATAAATTACACATTTACAAACTGAATTTTTATACTCTATTAAAAATCTTCATGCAAATACTTTTTAGCAGCTCACAACTCTTGTAAAAAATTTAGAAACTCTATATACAAACATTTTCTTTTTTAGATTCAGAGAGAGCATATTTTCATCCACTAGCATTGAGCTTCAAAAATGCTACCAGTGAAAATGGCAGAAAATTTTACATGCTCTCCCTTCTCTATCACTTACTCCCTTCTCACATGTTTACCTTCTTTATCTTCAGATAAAGATATCTTTAGRTATCTTTACCTTACCTTTAGATGTGAAAACCTTTACTCATATGACTCTACAAACCACTTTCACACTGAACAGTCAGCAGAGAGCTGATAAGCATATGAGCCTACCAGCCCATGTGGCTCATGTCTCCATTTCAGTGGTCCTGAAYGAGGTGGTTAGTCATTACTGCCCACAAGGAAGAGACACACCACCTGCCTTTACCGTGACAGAACTTGGACAAGCACAACATCAGTCTGCGCCRGGCTTGGCTCTAGGGACCTAATCACAGCAAAGGCTACAAACATCCCACTGTAAACAACTCAAAGGACAACAATCATACCCAGTATATCAACAGAAGCAAGAGTAACAAAGAAAGCAGAACCATGCCCCAGCAACAACCTTGCTCTGAGGAAGGAATAGGGAATAGAGAAGCTGGAATTTTTACTAGAATGCTTTTTAATTCCGTAGAAGTTGCATTTCATTGGATTTCTCTATCATGTCATTAAAATCTGATCCTTGCCTTTGTTGTTTTATTACAAATATTTAACCATAAATACCTCTCCTGTGAGAGCAACTGTATGTTCAAGTTGTGTTTGGGGAGCCATCTGTAACTGGAAGTCTTTTGCCAAGTTCTCTGTTCGCAGGCATTCTGTGGTCTTCTTCACAACCCAGACAGTTTTGTGCATCAGCTCATGCTAGCAGCATCTAAATCAAGTAAGATACAGATCCAGTTCAATATCACTGTTACACACTACAAAGTAGACAGTAAAAACAGTTAAGAGTGTCAGCCAACTACTAGAGCTTTCCAAAAACAAATTTTCATTAATAATAATAATAATAAACAACAAGATCCCAGTAAGTTTTGCCGTGATTGAATGAAAAAGAAAAGCAAGATACAGATCTGTATATATGCTATTCATAAAYCCAAAGAACATTTCCCCAGAAAATACTTTTACCACATGCACATGTGTTACACACAAAKCTTGGTCATGCTCTCAAATCTGATTTTCAGCTTGCTTATATCTATAAAGAACTTGATTATATCTATAAGCAAGTAGCTATTGCAAAGTACTAAGAAAGAGAACAATAGCTATTTCCAAGACTTGGCTAGGAAATGCAACTATACAAACATTTTGAAAACTATCCCCTACTCCTCCATACTATCTTTCATAGGTGTCATTTTAGCGCACCTAAATGCATTTAGTCACTGAGACTCTCTGCTCTAACACATAAATTTCATTCTCCCTCTAACAGTAGATAAAGCCTATTTTTTAGCTAATAGATAGAAAAATTAGGGCCACATTTCCAGATAACGGTGATGCTGCATCTTAATGACACGACATGCCTGTCACGAACAGAGTTAGTGGGATTTCAGTAAGTGCTTCCGACAAAACAATCTTACCCTAAAGCTATGCATTCACATCTAAAAATAAACTCTTTAGAATCTGTTTTGCCAAGACTCTGTATTTCATGCTTGGCAGCTGGGCACATTACCATTTCCAAGCAAGCTGTGAAGTTCATGCAGATTCAGAATTTTTCATTGTGGTCTTTTTTAAAAACCTGTCTGGGAAAAAAAAAAAAAAAAAAGTTAAAAACGTAACTGAGTACAGGTTAAACCACACGCAGTCTGGGATCATGCTGTCAAGAGATCAGTCCAGTCTGTAACAGCAGCACATACATACAGTATTAAAGCACCCTCATGGTTGGGTTGCAGCCCAAGAACGTTCTCCTTGAAGGAYGACAAGCAGAGAGGGACAACCAGGTGTGGAGAAAGAAAGGCAGCAAGCGCCCTGGTCAGCACGCACAGCATAAATGCATCAGCAGGGGGAGACAGGGCAGAAGGGGAGCTACACTGGGCACAACTATGAAGTTTCCAGGGGCTTTCCAGGCTGCAACTACATTGCCAAGAGTGGCTCACAGTCATAGCCAAGTTGAACACAGCTGTCGTATTCCTACTTCTCAACACAGATGCCACAAAAGAGCACAAAGCAGGGGAAGGAAGGAAGGAGAGGATTGTGTCACTATGGAATATTTTTATGTTTGAGTTGGTATCATCAAGTTGCCTATGTTTTTTAAGCTATTCAACTTATTAAACCACAGACACAGACAATATCAGAAAGCGATGCAAGGAGTAGTCATACAAACAATTAATTTTCTTTCTAACCTGCTGGTCAAACCAAAATATTGTTTCTCTTCACCAGGCTCAGCTTTTGCCCACCCTCTCTTCCCACCTTTCCCTCCCCCCAATTTTTTTTCTCTTTTTGGTCACAAAGTGAATGCATCAACCCACGGCACTCACCGCTCTCTGCCTGCCGGTCACTGCACTCCTGGGGGCTTGGAAAGGATAACACAGCTCTCGGCAGTGGAAAAAAAAAAAAAAAAAAAAAAAAAGTTAAAAACTGAAGAAAAATTCTTCCACTACTCATGCTGGAGAGGAGAGGAGGGAAAACAGAGGCAACTCTTGTAGGGACGGCCGACACACACACGCACCCACAAGTTTCGAGCACAGCCGCTGCCGGGCCACAACCACGGCTCGGAAACCCGGGACACGACAGGTCAGGCCTGGCCAGGTTAGGTTAGGCTAGGCTAGGCTAGGCTAGGTCAGGTTAGGTCCCACTCGGCTCCTCCACGACTCGTCCCACGACGCTTCATCTCCCCCTCAGAAGCCCGCAGCTCCAGCCCATGTATCTTATCGGCCTGGCCCGGCTCGGCTCGGCCCCTGCTGGGCCCCGCGCCCCGGCGGCCCCGGCAGCGCCGCCGGCCCCGGCGCCACCTGCGCGCCCGGACCCGGCGGGCGCGGGCGCGGGCGCCGCGGCTCCTTCCACCGCCCCAGGGGGCGGGACGGGGGCGGCGGCGGCGGCAGTGGCGGCGCCTCCGCGCTGAACCGGAGGCCGCTCTGGGGGCCGTTGGCGCCGCCGCCTTCTGCAGTTAAACCGCTTGAGAAATAAACCAAGCTTTACTCCCACAAATCATGGTTTCCCCCCATGCGTGAGCTATTCCCCCCCATTTTTCTCTTTATTTATTTTTGTCAGAGCACAAAACACGTATTTACACGACACAGGCTATTGATCTACTGTAAAGAGAATCTATAGATGTTTGAGGAAGACGCCCAGACCGGCAGCTGCAAATAAAGTTTTATTTGGAGTTTCACTGACTCCTTCCAGAGGTCCTTCAGTTTGGTGTCGAGGGGCTGCCTGTTCCTCGCTGCCCCTGTGGTGCTCGGCAAGATGGGGAGCCTCTCCACAGGCTGTACACCGCACAAAACAAGAAAACGTTGATTCCATTTTCATYTGTGCAAAATAAATGCGGGCTACTACAAGCTTTACTAAGTCCGGAAAGCAGGACATGTAAGCGGACTAAGCATGATTTCTCAGAGCCACATTTCAAGCTCTGCTGAGAGCTGCACGCGGGGGGCAGCAGCAATCCATGCGGTGCTGCATGACAGACCTTCAGTGCTGACTGGCCTTCTTGCTTTGTGCAAAAAAGTGAGAATGCCTCTTAACTTTTTTCGCCTGTTCTTCTTCAGTGCAGGAGGCACTATAGCTCTTCCCACAGTTTCCTTTCTGTGAGCACCTTTGTCCATATATTTTTAGTAAACTGGAAATAGTTCCTCCTCTGCACGGGCCAGGCATGGTTAAGCACTGTTTCTAGGGCTTGGAGTTAGTCTCCACTGACATCTGCGAGCTTTTCAAGCTTCACTTGATTGACATTTATCTTGTAACCTGCTTCCAGAGCACAAGTAGGCACCTTCCACCTTTTTAAAGGGAAGAACAAGATAACTCCTTTTATTTCTGCACCTTTTGCTTGGAGACATCAATCTGTACAACATAGCTCATCCTTGCCACGCATGTTGTGCTTTTTCTTTCTGATATCACAGAACAATAGTGAAAACAGCTTTGTTGGTGTCTAGTCTATCTAGAAACCTTATGCTCCCTGAGGAGCAAGGCTTCCCAGAGGACAAACCAACCTGTTTCAGGTCACATGCAGACTGCAAAATTTTAATGAACACTGATGGAAAGCTTTAATCTATTTACCATTTACAAGCAAGTAATTTCCTTGAGGAAAATTCAGCAATTTAAGCAAGTTTTTTGTTTGTTTGGGTTTTTTTTTAATGAAGTAAATCTAGTATTAACCAAGGATTAAATCAAAAAAAAAAAAAAAAAATTGACATCCTGATTTCTTCTATCATCTTGTGACTGACAAAAAATATCCTCAAGTTTTATTTGCCTTATGCTTCACTTTCTTTAAATCTTGTCTAGAATGTTCAGCAAAGCAGGTCTTCTAGCAGCACAATTCAGCAAGAGTTTAGTTGAAAGCCTCAACCTGCGTTAGCCATTCCTACTGTAGCATGATGAATTTAGGTACATTTGACAGGATATGTAGTGTGGATGTTTGAGTATATAATTTGGCCAATTGATTAACAGAATAAAGTCCTAATCTTAAATCTTGAGGAATGCGAAGTAAAGTTGAGTAGATGTACATGATCAGATAGAGATCTCTATGATTTCAGTGAAGTATTTGAACAGAAGCTTTTCTTCTTTAAAGTGAAAAACTGTCACCTTCTAAAGGAAAAAAAAGTCAATTTCTGATCCTTTATTATAAATTCCTATTTGTAGAATCTCAGTGGAAAGCTTTGGGCAGTAGACTTCAACTGAAAAATTGCACAGAACTTTCTGTGAAGTCATTTTAAATGAGGCATTCATATGAGCTCATTGTGAAGGCTTTTTATAGATCTTAAAGTAATATCTGAGTTCATATTTCTTCAGAATCACAAAAAGATAACTGCAAATAATTCATTCTCTGCTTTTGTGACACATTATAAGTCAGTCTCTCATAAATTTCACTTCTGATTTTCCTCATATCATCACTGTTTAACAGGCAAGGTTGATTGAAATAAATGTTTGTCTCAGCTAAAGACAATTAATTTTCTTCTGCAGGCTACAAGCAGAACTTGAAAGGATGCAAAAGACCAAGTAGAGAGAGGACTGCATGTAGTATTTCTGTAAGTAACACCTGTTCACATAGCTGTTAGTTATGTGCTCTACTGCTCTCTAGAGAAGTTGTTTCATGGCAATGCTCTCCTGGGCTACCATTGACTAAATAACAATCCAATTGGATTTAGTACTAGAGTTCTTAGTTCTCTAAGAACTTTTGTTCTAACAGCACAGATCTAGAAGATGAAGAAACAAAAAGAAGATAAGAAATAGATTGATGCAAAGAGAAGATAGAGGCATTAAATAGTCATAATTAAAGTGAATGAACCAATGTGAGTGAACCAACTCATTATTACTGGCTAAATAGCAATAACATAATAGTAAACATACTGGTTTATAGCTAATCAACAGTAAAAGGCAAGACTGCGCAAAAGTTTCAATATTAGTTCCAGAAAAGGTCTTTTCACATATTTAATTCCATGCAAGGGAAATTTATAAATATTAATATAGACATGTGAATTGTATCTAATGTGAAAGCTGTAATTTATCATTTGAACTTTATTGGTAGCTTAATGCTGGAAGACAGTAAAATCAGTTCTGTTCCTATTTAAGAGCAAGAGCTTATATGTATTGTTGTTTTGTGTAAACTCTTTCCATTTACATCAGAGTATTTTTATTCCTGCAAGGTTACTGCTTCACTTTCTAAGTAGCTTCATGCTGCTATTAAAGAGGAGAAAAAAAATGAAAGAAATTGATTTTTTTCAGTGTAAGTAGAAGAATCTTTCTGTTCATGACTGTAAAAAATGATTGCTTGCCTTAATGTAAACAGATCCATGATGATTGACATTTACTATGTCCATGAATACTCACAGAGGACTACTTTTCACTTAGTGCAACTCAAATCCAGCAGATTAGGGAGGCATTTAGAAAAACAACTACTAATAAAATGTTTTTTTTTCTGCTTATTAAAGAATTTTTAGTACTAAATCTAACACTTCTGCTGCTAGTCAAGAGAGAAAGAATCTGCCAACAACGTGTGTGACTAGGTTTGTTTCAAAATTCAAAATCCATAATAAACATCTATCTGCAATGAAACAATATTCTTCTGCATTGAAGAAAGATGCAAGAGAGAAAGTGAAAAATTCTAAAAACGCGGTGCAACCTATTGCTGGTAGAAACAAAGAAATCTCTGAATGTTGTGGTCTCCAGAATAGAAAGGATTTCTTCCCTGGGTAAACTCTAAAAGGTTAACATGAACTTCATATRTATATGTGTGTATAAATATATGTATACATATAGTTACAAATATATATAAATTTATGAAAGTCATGTCCTGAAAAACATTACTGAAAGAAATTATTGATGATGGCTCTAGGTTAGACATTTTCAGGATATGAAAATGTAACTGATAGGTAAAACTTGGAACCTACAAATTATGAACCTTTAAAATATGAATCTCCTTCTTTGGAGATCTTTAAAACCGGCTTGGACGCAGCCCTGTGCCACGTGCTGTAGGTGACCCTGCGTGAGCAGAGGGGTTGGACTAGATGACYTCTGAGGTCCCTTCCAACCTTAAGCATTCTGTGATTCTATGATTCTATGAACCTTATATTGAACACTGCTGTCAAAGAGGTGCTTATGCACCTATCTATTATCAGGCCAATTCAGGAGTAGACATTTTTTAAACTTGGTTTAATAAATAAAAAAAAAAAATGAAAGCAAAAACAGGGAGAAAAATACCTCACTAAAATAATTTTAAAAAATCACTCCAATAATTCCTTAATATTAAAGTCTGTTAAAATCCTTTAAGTTATGAACTTCATATTCCAAGAACTTCTGGAGAACAAACATACAGAATTCTGTATCAAAATTTAGAGCTTTTCAACATTTCTGTTAATGGCAAATCACTTCCATTGTGGAATGGGTGCATGGAGCCACATCCCTCAGTCGCGGTGGTGAAGGGGCTGGCTTCATAAAATAATCATAAAATTATGGTAATAGTAATGAATGCACTTTAAAGTTGGAGGAAAATACTAATCCATTTGGAATTATGTTCTATGTTTGATAGAAAACAGAATGATCCCATTTAAAGGACTAAGAGGGTAAAATGAAGTATGTATACTCATCCTTAACATCCTTATATTTTATGTTACATTTTCCAAGTTGGTACCACATTGGTGACTGCAGACATGGAGGATTACTTGCTTATCAATAATATAGAAGCTGTTTTAAGAAGAAAAAAAGTGCAGCTTGAAAACAATTCACAACAAAAATGCTAATGCCAAAACACTAAAGAAGTGGGCAATAAAGATACATTAGTTCGTCAGAGGCACTTGAATTATTACATATTTTGACTTCAGTTAATAAGTCTGTCTGATATTAGAATCATTACATTCAAATAGAGGTTAATGAGAGTTAAAATTAAACAAGCATTTAAT